TTTTAAAAGTTATTTTAATAAATGGAAAAAATTGAGTATCGGTATCGATTTTGGTATCGGTATCGACCAAAATTCATGGTATCGGACTGGTATCGTATCGAAACCAAAAAAGCTGGTATCGCCCATCACTACCATTTATTTTCGTGAAATGTTTCCAATATGGCTGACGATAGCAATAAACCGCTGTCCAGTAAATTCCACTGGCCTTTCCAAATCCCGCTTAAATAACATCGCTCAACATCACATAATATCAATGTTCGACCCGGCCCCGGCCAAAATCATGCATCCCCGGCCCCGGCCTGGCCCCAGCCAAAATCATGCCCCCGGTCGACCACTGCACTTACCCAAAAACGAGGGTCTAGTATCTAGTAGAGGTGTGCAAATCCAATTCGAATCCGATCGGATTTGTTCAGATTTCAGAACAAAAATATTCATTTCGTATTGGATCGGATTGATAAAATTGTTTCGTAGTTGGATCGGATCGGACTTTGATATTCGAAATAAAATAAGTTAATTATATATAATAATTATTTGGTTAAATATTCTCACTTGAATGAGAAATTTATTTTATTAAAGGATTCTTCGGATCGGAATTTTTTATCAAAACTCGGATTGGATTCAGATTAGATTTCGGATCGGATTGGATTTTAAACATTAGCCAATTGTCGGATTATAAATGTCCAATCTGATCCGATGCACATCTGTGGTCTATACAGACTATAGGTCCAAGCTGGTGACATCAACCTCTCATCGTTTGTCAGGGTTGTATTGTAGCTAATCCCTATGGCTAGGGGGATGCAGTTGAAAAATTTCTCTGAGTGGAGTCTATAAAATTTCAGAATGGCATCCTGAGAATCTGCACAATGTGTGAAGGCATTAGAGGTCATGGTGTTAGCAACCATAGTGATAACATTTGTTCAGATGAATATTTTTTTAGCCATTGGTCCAAGGTGACATCAACCTCTCATCGTTTGTCAGGGCCATATTGTAGCTAATCCCTGATGCTGTGAGTGATGGCTGGGGGGATGCAGATGAAAAATTTCTCTAGTGGACATCTATAAAATTTCAGAGTGGCATCCTGAGAATCTGCACAATGTGTGAAGGCATTAGAGGTCATGGTGTTAGCAACCATAACATTTGTTCAGATGAATATTTTTTTAGCCATTGCTATTTATTTGTAATAGTATTCTTGTAATGCAACTTCATTTATTTAAAGTTAAACTTAAAATTTATAACTAATTACTATTTCAAAAATATCTACAAATTAGTCATATCACACAGAAAGAAATACTTCTCAACAGGCCTGGAATTTCCCTAACAACTTTCCACAGCAATTACATAAAAAATTGCCGTAGACAGCTGCTGCACTTTTCACCAATTGTACAGCATTTTTCATTTAATATGTCATATGTATTGTGAGTGACAGGTTGTGGCAGAAATTTTCTTTTCTATATTTCTTCTGCCTTTAGAGATTTCAGCAGTCCTGGGCAGATCTGGCCTGATTTGTTAGAGGGGGTGCAGGTTTTCCAGAGGGGAGTGCATTACTACAGGGATCCGGGGTATTCCCCATAGTATGTATTTTTGAAATTTGAAGCCCTGAAATGCCATTTCCTGCATTCTGAGCAGTATGTTCATTCTTTACATTTGTCCTCACAGTACTTGTATTTCGGGCAAAAATTAAGTGCTACATTATATGGTGGCCCACCATATTGATTTGGGGCTTAAATATTTTCTCGCGTATCCGAAAATCAATCGTTTCAATATAACAAGTAGTATTCACAACTCAAATATGGAATACCAGAGTTTTCTTCAAGGGGGTGCTGGTCACCACTAGGGGGAGACCTTTGCGCACCCTTTGCACCTCACCGGTAGATCCCCCCTGCATTTCAGTAATTAATACAAAAAAGTAACAACATCTACACAAATAAAAATCATAAACACAGGTTGCTAATAATATATACCAATTCCCTAAAATTTACACTTACAAAAAACTGCTGTCATTAATTAATTGTCCACAGTGATCCACTGCATTTTCTTTTCGAACTACAGTGATTACCATGAGTGCAGTGATAAAATTCCAGCCCTTTGAGGCACAAAGTCTTAGTCACCAAAGACAATATTCAAGCAAGTATTATGTGCACTGTTTGAACAACACCACAAATTGGTACGCATAAAATATATCACTTTTTGGCTATACCAACAAAAACGTAGACTCAAAGCACGCAAAACATTCTGATGCTTTCTCCAGCTGAGGTCAAGATGGACTTGCAAGATGATGAAGGTCACCAAGTGCCGGGCCAAGTGGTTCTTGCAGGAGAAAGAAAAAGTTGAAGATGTTTTCATTATATTAAAGTGACTTCACGAGCTCTAGTTAGGAAACCAAGTAGATTTCTGTCTTGCTCTGCTTCGGTTGCTCCTCACACCATAATGGTTTCCACTCCATGCTCATAATGGTTTCCACTCTTTGAAACAAGTCTGGAAATTCCAAAGGGCATTTTAAAACTGGTGCCTGTCGACTGGGGTGTTCAATGTAATCAATTTCCTCGACTCTTACCCAACTTGATCTCACAGAACCCTGAACGCGCATGTAGAACACTGAATACTGTGGTATTAGGTACCTTTGCAATGACTTCTAGAAATCTAGTGTGGATAATGTTCTCTCATAACTACATGCTGCGATCAGGTTCTTTGGATCCACGTGGATGCGAAATTTCCCAGGTTTGACCGCTGTAACCATGCTGGAAACCATGGGCAATTTTCACTAGTCTTGTTTCTGTGATGCAACTAGTACTTTCTGGGACGGGTGGGTTACAGGCACCACATCTTGCTTCAACTTAATCTGGTGCTCACCAGGAAAAAAATTTGGGCCTTCAAACAGATCTGTATAGTGCTCAAAAATGACCTTCAGCAATTTCACTGCAATCATTACAGCAACGTTTGGTACGGTTATCAATGATTTGATTTTGGAGACATTGTATCCACACTCTTGACTAAATCCGTCTCTTCAGCACATGTCTTCAGGCTTAACAGAGGCGGTACATCCTCTCAATCAACCACGTAGATCTAAAGACTGTATTCTCGATCTTTATACCCCAATAGCACTGTAACTTTTCCCAGTGACTCGACCTTTGTTTTACAGTAGCTTAATAAATTTACATTTCAACTTCAAGCTTCCTATCTTGAAATTAACCTTGGAATTGACTCACCATTCTTCTGGACTATCCACTTTAATTTCATTCACGACTATAAGGGCTCATCTATTGCTGCTTCCATTTCGTTCACTTGACTGGCTTATTCTTCTGGCTGCACATCCTCCCGAAGTGATTTTAGTTTCTGACAATAGTGTCATCTTTTTTCCGAATCCAGGACATTCTTCTTGCCTTGTTTGACATTTTTAGGCCTTCGCCGTTGCTATAGATCAACCATATCCGGTTCCCAATGCTTTATCCTGATTTGATAGCGAGTTCTGCGCCTCTGCATGTTTATGTCCACAGCCTTTTTCAGTTTGGGATAGCTACTTCGCGTAGTAATCTCCCTCGAACTGCATCACTGGGTATACCCACAAGGTGCTCAAGTCACAGTCTTTGAAACTAACCAACTACAATAAATTCAAATAAAATACTCTCTGTAGTGATGTACGTCCACGCTAGCAAGGATCGAATTAAATTATGGCTGATTCGCGCGCACGTTCATTGTTACGTAACTAATTTGACGCAACGTGACGTTTTGCATCATGAAATAGACGTGACGCCTTAATTGATGAATAACCAACAATTTATTCGACTTTAAAGCTTTACACCTTCTGTCACAGATTTTCCTTTTACTGCTTTTACAGCTTTTCCTTTTGATTTTCCTTTTACTGCTTCCTCCGTTAGCTCATTTAGTTTGATGGATAGATACAACAGATAGATAGATCGATACAGCAGATAGATTGATCGATACAGTAGATAGATAGATAGATCGATACAGCAGATAGATAGATCGATACTGAGATAGATAGATCGATACAGTAGACAGATAGATCGATACAGTAGATAGATCGATAAGCAAGGTTGTTTTCCAGAGATAGATCAAACTGCTTTCTAGCTCTAGTTACGCGTTTTTCATACGTGCGTCTACGTACGGAAAAGTTTAAATGTTTCTAAAATTTTACATATGTACAGGACTAATTATCAAGATTTTTGTGGCATCTCGAATGAATAATATTTGATGTGTACAGTAGATGGAAATTGTCAAGTGGAAATTTATTTACATTTATATATACATTTAATTTCCACTCGACAATTCCTAATTAATTTTGAAAACGGGGATTAGACATCAGGATCGTCCCTGTCTTCTTCTTGTTCGAATTGTAACGTTTCGAGTATCTCAACTGCTTCATCTCCCACGAGATTTTTCAGTACTGCAGCTTGAAATTTCTTCGATCTCTTTAACACCAGCAGCCAGTGCACAGTCCATTGTAGGTTTTTAGCTTATACTTATACATAGAGCTTAATCTTCTCTCAAAGACACCAGGTTATAAGACAAGTGTTTTTTTGTCCATGTACGGTGAGTCCACTCACTTTAATGTTCTTTTAACTGGTATTTTTAAATTATCTTCAGATTATGGTGCTCAACTTGCTTAAAATCGTATACACAAAAGAATGTTCATTACCGGTATCACGTTAACTTAACTGTGTCAGATTGTAGTAGAATTTCAAGGGTGACAGTGTTTGGCAAATGCTTAGAAGCTTTCTTTGGTTTGACGGCAACAGAATTTTGCAGGTATCTACATGTCATTACAGCTATTTCAATTAAGGTTGTCCACGAGTAAAGCGGAAAAGTCGAATACGAGCGCGAAAGGCTGTTGGGAATCGCTACGAAAATTCATTAATTTGTTAGCGATTCCCAGCAGCCTTTCGCGCTCGTATTTGACTTTTCCGCTTTGCTCGTGGACAACCTTAATTGAAATAGCTGTATATATCTATTGTCTATTGAAAGTTGTTTCAATCCTCCGTTTATAACTTGATATGAAATATTATTGACATTGTTGAATGGGGCAATCATCCGGCATGGTGGTATTAAATATTTAGTTAATTCGTATTAAAGAAATACTATTGTATGCGTATGATATAGAGATTAGCCCTTGTGGAATACAGATTTCAGTAAGGTTAAGTGCATGTTGTTACTTCTCTGGGACAAACAAAATGTAATGTATATGAAGGTGAGCTGAGCGTTTCAACATAAAATTATTTTAAAATTAGATATGTGATGAAATGCGAAAGAAAAAACTCACTTCAAGGGCTTGATATTCACAAGATGGTTCACATAGCAATGGAGAAATGTTTTGTCGGAGAGATGGCTTACCTGGCTTTCCGCTTGGGTAATACAGGTAAAAATAGTTCTCAACTGCAAGCTAATGTGCTACCGGCTTCTAAAGCAACAAACTTCGGCAGGTACTGCAAAGTACCTGAACTACTGGCCAATGGAATCTGTAGAGTTCAGAATGAAACGAAACATAGATCCATAGCTGACGTTCTTATAGAATATCTTAGCCACTTTGAAAATAGTGTTTTATTAGACAGTTGGAGAATTGCTGGCAATTGCACGACTGACGATTGTTCACGTTCTATTGCAAATAAGGAAAGCAGAATATCAATGGATGAAACAGACTGTGACATACATGATGCTGTATCACCACGCAATCTTCTCGGGGTAAGCAGTAACAAAAATAACTTCGTGTTATCAATGTTGTCCAGTTATCATGAGTCGAACAACAACACTGACGTTTTGCGACACCTTTCATGTGATTTTGAAAACGGCCAGCGCTCGGCTTGTTTTGAGCGTGACCAAGTTGAAGGCAATAGTTCACAATTAGGAAAGTCGAGTATTATATGTGAAGAAAACTTAACTCTAAGTGACTTGCAACAATCATTTTGTTGTACATCAAATACCAATGATCCGTGTATGTGGACAAGTATTAGAGAGGACAGCCCTAACAGTGGATCTGTCACGGAAAGTCTATCTCCGAAAGTCGCACTGTTTTCTAAAAGAGTATCAGAAAAAGAAAATCTCAAGCCAGTGCGTCTTCCTACCAGTATTGCTGATATATGTTCTAAATCACATGTCGTGAATACTGACGACAGTTCTTGTGAAGCAGCTTGTGGTAATGAAGGTCCTTCGGGACGAGATAAAGATCTAGAACTCCCTAGGCTTGTCACACACTCCCCGAATGTCAATAATGCCTATAATGAATTTGATATGTTTGATTCACCGACGTCAGAAGACTTAGATGCTTTCCTTGCAGAGATCAGTTTCACATGGCTAACAACAAAACCTGAACAAATTGATGGAAACCTGAATCAACCGTATTACAAAGATGATAAACGCTGCCCAGGAGAATCTGGAGAACTCGAATCCACTTCTGATTCCCATATCGTTTGTTGTGATCGTGAGCCCAAAACCTGTTTAACGAGCACACCGAGCTTAGCAAATCGCAGTTGTCATAAAACTTCTGATTTAGAAGGCATCATTAATTCTTCATTTTCCCCGATTTATACTGAGTTTATCTCAACTTCTGAAAGAAATCCTAATGATACGGAGAAAAATACTTTCGTAGTTTATGATGAGAGTCATGAGATGTTTCCAACAGCAGAGAAACAACATTCTAAACTTGGTTTAACATCTACACCTATCTTACAGTCACAGTTTGGATGTATTTCTAACTGTTTACGTTCTTCCCTTTCACGGAAAACTACATGTCAAAAACCTTCATTTAAAGTATCATCCAGGATTAAGGGAAAGCAGAAATCAAAAAACTTGTTGAGATGTATGTTAAGCTCGAAGAAGTCAACCTGTTGTTCAAACAATTCTAATTTGAAGAATGCGGTGGATATTTCACAAGAAAATCTAAACGATTCTCCTGATCCTTGTTCGCCGCTTGTGCGAGATACTACGCCGCTTGAAAAGTGGACTGAAAATTCCTTGCTGCTTTTTGAAGATGAAAGCTATGTAAATGGCTCAAAAGAAGAGGAAATAAAATCAAGAGGCAAGTTTCAAGATTTACCCACCAATGCTCTACTCGCCTGTACTGAATCGAATGTTGATGCAAGTAGTCCTAATTCTCCTCTCACCAACGATGACAGAGCATGTTTAAAGAATAATATATTTGATGAAAAGCTTTTATCAACTTATGACTCACCCTTACTGTTCTCTCCATGGTAAACTATCGAATTGAAGAGTTAAAAACAACTCGTTAATCTCCCAACTGACTGTACATTGCGGGGGTCTGACTACTATGGGTATTAAAGAATAAGAAATAAAATGCAACTAGGAAATGTAAGACTTATTAGGTTTAGACAAAATCCTTTCCTGGTGGTTTATCCAGGGAATATCTCCGTGCATGTGTACAGAAAATTCTCCTTAAAAGGCTGCTTTCCAGCCTGGCATTTTTATACGTATACGCATGGGAAAATTAAATCTTCTAAAGTTTATAAAATCATGCATTCAATGTTTTATGTCTTTTCGCTTGCCGTATGAAAACTGGAAGCAGCCCAATCTCGTACCCACCATCTCTGGGTACGAGATTGGAAACAGCCTTAAAGTGGATCTAAAAGTACGCAGGGCGGGGTGGCTGCAGAGTGTGGCAGAGAAAAGCACCAGTTCCCTAGTGAGTACGAGATTGGCCTCAAAGCTCAATATACATAGGTCCTAGCGGCAACACTACGAAGACGGTAAATTATATTCAAATATTTTCATCGCACAGAAAGAAAATTTGTTACGCACTTGCCATGCAACTCACCCTCACTGTGACAAGTATTTCTCTACTACCGGACGCGGTTGAGCAAAATAGATATTTACCAGTGGTTAGCAGATTTAAACCTCGCCTAGGATAAGGGTTGACGTTTTTAGGCAGCAGTACTTCCCTAATGTATACCACTTCCCTTGGATACCCGAAATCGTCGCTTCTTAAAAGGGCCGGTTTGCACTTCGAATTTTCGGATGGGGTCTGCTGAACAGGCTAGGTTAACACATGATATGTAGGTAACATACAAATACATTAGCTGTGGTTCTATATATTTTAATAATATTTTTACCTTTGATTCTACAAACAGCTATTTTATAGAATACATTTGTTATATAATATTTGTTCTCCCTTGCTATATACATAATAACATAAAATATTTAAAATATCATATTTTACAACAACTCGTCGTATATGGTAGTTTTTCACTATTATTGTTGATACAGTTGTTGTTTGTTTTGATAGTAATAGTTTGTTCGTCCGTTAATACTGCAGTGCTCTCTTCGTCATCTGTATTTTTGAGTCGTTGACTGAGTTCCAGAGCAATACTATCAAACAGCACATCAACATTTTCGTCATCCTTCGCTGATGTTTCCATGGTGACAATGTCACATGCAGAACCAATTTCTTTGGCCATATCACATTCAACCTGTCGTTGATCATTCAAGTCTTTCTTATTTCCAACTAGAATCTTGATTGCATCCTTCTTACAGTATCTCTGAACATCGTCCAACCACAATGGTAGATTTTCAAATGACCGTTTATTCGTGATGTCATAGACAATGACGACTGCATGAGCGTTATTATAATAACTGTGAGTAAGCGATCGAAATCTCTCCTGGCCAGCAGTATCCCATAATTGGAGCTGCAATATAGGAAAAGAAAATGCAGGGCATCACAAAAGAAAATATGCGCTTGTTTGTAGCTGTGCATGGAGATTCTTGGAGGAAAACGGAAGGAGGAGCTTTATTTCACCAGGATAATCCAATCAGCAATAACGAGAATTACTGCTATAAACTCGAGCCCTTTATCTCTTCAATGAAGTTATTGGGAAGAGTAAAAATTATTGTCGAGATAACACTTAGTTAATGATGAGGAATGCTGTAAGAAATCCGCCAACTTTCTCTGTACAATATTATTTCTATATGCAGACGCTTCATTTCACTTGTTGTTCCGTGTAGTGCGTCACCAAACAGTCAAACAAAGTCAAAATGCAGTTTTTTTTACACATTTTATAACTTGGGATACTATCAGTTGCATCGTTAGATTAATCAAACGGTGGGAAACAGAACTCTGCCTTTATTAAGTTTATTTAGTTAGATATATGTTTATATTCTTGCATAAACTCGACGTATAGAGTATAGCTAGGAAAGTGAGTTACCCTATTGAGAAAGCTTCGGATTGACTGGGATGCAACTACGTGAAAAATGCAAAGAGAATTTCCACGTTTCGAGTAAAGGCCCTCGGAACATCGTTGTCTTTGTATTTTTCAGGTAGTTGCATGCATCCTATCAGTCCGAAGCTTTCTCATGGGTAATGCTCGGGGTAATGAATTGGGTAATATTGTAAAAATTCGTATTAAGATATGAATAAGTCGAATAGCTTTTAAACCCAAACTAAATGCTTGATTGAATATCCTTCTAAATATTGCAATATGGCGAACGTGCCTGATATGGTGAAGCGCTTCTCTCTTGCGTAATCACATAGTCATTGAGTATTTGTAGTTTTTCCATAGAGCTCCTCTATCTTGGGAGCTGAGAAGCATATTGGTTTGACATGAAATAACCATAATCTTGCCTTATATAAGCAAGAGAGTGTACTCGACGGATAATTGAAAAGTAGAACGGTACGTGACTTCACGAAAATGGAACTTGAAACTTATGAACAACAGTGCAACACATAGAACTAATATATCATGCAGCAGACGCGACATGAATGTAGTTAATGAAAGTCATACACATTAATTATCATTAATATAATTATCTAATTTGTCGATTTAGATGAATCACTAACTATCAGACAAGTGACGTTTTGATACAATGTGGCTATTTGTTTTCACGAAACAAAAATTAGCAGTTTCCGGAAGTTTGAGGCAAACACAGAATGCCACAGAATAGACAAACAATGACGTAATAAATAATAGATACAGTATGTCTATATTTTAATGTGCCCCAAAATTGTCAAATTTGTAGTATAGTTATAATAAGAAAACATACCTTAATCATTTCGTCATTAATGTCCACATTTCTCATCATAAAATCGACTCCTATTGTAGCGCCTGGGTTGCCGATAAATAGTCCTTTGGCGTAGCGACGAACCAGACAAGTCTTGCCAACAGATGCGTCTCCGATGAGAACCACCTTAAACAGATATTTATATTTACTATCATCTCCCATTGTTTGTTCTTAACTAACGATGACCTTTTTACTTTTGTCTTGATCAAAATTTCGTGCTTCAGCTTCTTGCTGTATGTTTGTGATATTATTCCTGTTTATGTTCATGTGATATTTATACTTGTAAGTATCCGCCTCTTGAATAAATCATTTCCGCTTTCTATGACGCGTGAACCCACACCTTGCTGTCATAGCAAAACAAAACAAAACAAAACAGAAACAAGACGTGTATCACTAGTACCTTTCCTTGAATGTGCTTCACTTCTTTCAGCAGATCTCATTCGAGATACAGTTCTATTTTAGAAGATCAACTAAATCCTTTCCCACACCAAATGTATGATAATATGAGCAAGTCTTTCCCACCCGGCATATATGCATATATTCTTTGTTCTACTTTCTCTTGGACTACTCATAACTTCCGGTTATCAAGTTCCTCTTTCGAGTGTTAATTGTGATTTGTGAAACAAATTAAACATGGAAACCAAATATCAAAGTAATTAATCTAACTAGAAAATGTTGTGTTTGTGTGACCTATGACCTGCAATAATGACTACGTCCATCCAAATCACCAACAGAAAGTTTCTAGTTCGCGTGAATGTTTGCTCAGTCATTTATACACTGGAATAAGGCCACATAAAAAAAATTACTTGTTTAGCGTCCCCGCCCGAGCTGATAAAAGTCCCCGACCTCCAATTTTTTTTTTTTTATTTTTTTTTAATTTGTCCGAGTTTAGTGGAAAAACTCTCTATAAAAAGACCGTTTTACTTGAAAAAATGGTGATTTTATTCTTCTGGGAGCTATGTAATACGTTTACACAAAGTTTCCTTCCCAGAATATGCCTGTTCGCAGCTAAATTGTTCGCGCGTGACCGCCAAACGGTAATTTTCTGTTTTATTAAAAACATGAACGGGAAGTTAAAAAACATGAACGGATTTTGAAAGAATTAAAGTGAGTTTTGACTGTGGTAATATACTGGATTTCCTGCATTTAGCAGAATTTTGTGTTGCATTTTACGAAAAAAAAAAAAAAATCCGTCCGCCCGACCTAGAAAAATTAAAATGGGTGGACGCTAAACAAGTAATTTTTTTTATGTGGCCTAAGGTCAAGGATCTGCATGCAAGATGGCAAGGCCGTCGGCCTGAGCCCACCCATCCCCCAATAATTTTCATTTGTATATGCAAAAAACACAAAAGATGCTTAGGTGAAGCGGCATTCGGCGCGTGCGAAAGCAATTCAGATTTATTCTTGAGCCAACTCCCCATATTGATTCACTTCCGACAGCCTTGAAGATGGCATTGCCTTTTGCACATCATGCTACGGAGATATAATGCTAGAATTTAGAACAAAGAATCGGGGATTTCCAAAGTTTTTTCGGCGAGGGTGCAAACATTTATGCGTGCGCTCATTTCCCAAACCTACATGAACACATATCAAAAGAGTATATGACATCGTAGATTTCACTTCTAACTTTCAGAGTTACATGTGGCTATTCAAGACTATTCTAGACGACTAGGAGTAATTAACACGATGATGCAATCAGAAATGAAATCTGAATCCTTGTCTGTATGATTGATATTCAGGGGCGGATCTAGGATTTTTCGTACCTCAGTCAAAATTTTTTGGTGGACGGGGCGTTATCGGCGCTGGGCGTGGTCTCAACTGGGCGTGGTCGACTCCAGACGGGGGGAGTGGGCGCTAAATGCTGATAGTCCGCCACTGGATTTTTAGAATTTTCCCTACATAAAATGCGATTTGGTCCCCCCCCCCACACCTATTAACCTAAATCCTAATTAACCAAATTATAGAACATATTTAGATTAAATTGATAAACTCAAACGAACATTTGATTCTTATCCACAGGCACTGTAAGAACAACTACAAATGCACAAAGATATATTGATCCTATTTCAATACAAAATTTTATAGATATGTTACAATTATATAATACTTTAAAACTCATCAGCAATTTAACATGTTTGCCTGTGGATTAATGAATCGTCGTCATATTGGTACTATATGCTTATAAGTGTATCATTGTAAAACTTCTAAAATCATATGGCAGCAAATGCATTAAGGAAATATACTGTTCTGTTACCAAAAACACAGAACTATACATAACAAGTAATTGCCAGTAGCCTGAGCTCTAAAAAAACAACCACGTATTCATTAACTAAGTCAAAGATGTTAAGTCAAATATAAATAAACTAAACCCTTACTATTAATAAAGTCTTACTGTGGTCTATATATTGAATACAAAATATATTATTAATAAACTAGTAACATCAGAATGGCTACCAGTCAATGAGCTTTTCAAGCGGCCTAATTAAATATTTCACATCATCATGTTACATCAGACCAATGCGGTCTAACAAGCCAAAGAAATTTTAAATAAAACTTCACTAACATGAGAATCAACAAATGCTTACAATGTTGACGCGAGAATTATGCTAATACAACAATACAGCATAGCGAATATATTAAAATATCATATGTCAGACAATCATTAACAACACCGATGGCTTGGTACTCGGTAACTCCGGTTTGTAAACCTTTAATATGAACTAAGATACATCACTATAAAACCATAAATTTATCTACCTTATTGCAGTGCAAGCTTTGTCTTTCTCTAGCAGTAGCTCTCTGCGCCAAAATTTCTAGCGAGGCTTCTGCTTGTGTTGTTGATGGCGCCGCTCAGTAGCTTGTCAACAAAATTCGTCCGTGAGGCATCGATATTCTTTTCAAGCTCCGTATACAAACGTTGTATAGAGATTCCAAATTGTTTGCCGCAATCGCAAACTGAACATTGTCGAAAATGTTTCCAGATATCACTGGTAGAAATCGCTCGTAATAGTAAACGTTCGAAATAGTAAACACTCAGAGGTAAACACTAATGCGGTCTTGACGAATACCTCACGTTGCGAATCCGTCGAAAATATAAGCCAATGATAGTGCAGAATTTTTTTAAATGGTTCAATCAGAAGGCTCATACAGAGCCCCTGAACCTGCAAATCCGTCAGGCCTCCCCACAGATCCGTCGCAAATGGCCGTAACCATGGAAATGAGCGTGTCAGCCAATCAGATAGCCGGATTTGACCCCCGAATCCGTCAACTTTCATGCGTAAGACCGCTGTTCGTGACTGACTAACATTACTTTGCCGAAGCTCTGCCGCAGCATGAAACGTATAACTGGACTACCGGTACGATTCAAAATTTTAGTAACTCGATCTACTGGCCACTATAGATAGGCTAGTTGGAATAATTTTTTTTTAAGTAGGCAATTTTTACTTCAGTCGCGCGACTGATTTGACGACCCCTAGATCCGCCCCTGTTAGGACGTCCAAAAAAGCGAGTTTGTTGTCATGTTCTTCCTCTTTGGTAAATTTGATGTTTTTAGTGGTGTTGTTAATTGTTAGTAGGATGTCGTCTGTTTTGTCCTTTTTGACAGTAGCAAGTACATCGTCTACATACCTGTCCCATATTTTAATGTCGTCATTGTTTGTAACAGCTGAAAAATTAGGTCCAACATGCAAACTTAGGTCCAACTTCACTAAACACAAAGACAAGACACATATAACGGATAAACATAACGCCATTTATATCTTCCCGTGCAAAAACTGTCCGGATAAGTACATTGGGCAAACTTCTAAAAAGATTCAGACAAGGCTAACAGAACACCAGAACGCAATCAACAGACACGACCATAGCTCACTTCCAGCTAAACACACAGACGACAACGGACACAAATTCGACTGGTCTCAAACGAGATGCCTAGGACAAGCAACTAAACATGCCCGTGAGTTTAAAGAAGCGTGGCATAGTTTAGACAAACAAACATTTAACCGTCACATTGACATCCCTACAATTTACTTACAACTGAAACGCTCTCACAAATCTCCTAATTCATCTTCATTAACCTTTAACCCACCCTCAACTTCCTTCCCTACACCGTCTCATGATAACAATAATCACCCGCATTCGATAGTAACTAATGGCAACCAACATATTGAAATCCATCAACCAATCAGACGTTCCCACAGACTTCAACAACGTCAACAACAGCGCGAAAATTCAAATGATCAATCTTTCTGATGAAGGCTCGAAGTACCGAGTCGAAAGCTCAAAACAAATATTACAATCCGGAGAACACTGTATAATTTTGTAAAAATTATAATTTAATAAAATGCCTGGATTACAAATCTTCAAATCTATTATATATATATATATATATATATATATATATATATATATACATATATATATATATATATATATATATATATATATATATATATATATATATATATATATATATATATATATATATATATATATATATATATATATATATACAGTCGAACCCCTATAAGCGGACACCTCTCTTAAGCGGACACCTCTTTTAAGCGGACACATATCTCAGGTCCCATTCGTTTTCTTTAATAAAATATTATTATCATAACCCCTATTAAGCGGACACCCCTCTTTAACGGACGCGGACACCTTACCTGAGGTCCCAGTGTGTAAACCAACCTCTCTTAAACGGACAGATGACAGATTGTCTGATAAAATGTATTCAATATTCGACAGTAAATAACAATTGAGACCAATTTACATGGCACATTGACAGTGACACACCAACTTGGCGCGAAGACATCAGAGCCAAGATTATTGAGTAAGTGACGAACGAGGACTGTGAGCCGCCAGCCGAAGAGCCGAAAGATATGTGTCAGATCACTGATGAAGACAACGAACTGAACGAAAATGATCAATTGACAATTGGACTGGTCTGTTAACGAACCAGTCATTAAATTGTCCTTCGAAACCCTTAAAATTGTCGAGCGGCTGGCAGAATTCCCACAATTTCGAGGTTTGGAAGAACGTTCCAATGCCATTTTTATGTAAATGCGCTATCGTCTGCGTGAGCCTCGAAAGTAAACTTGTATCGATTCCTTTTTTATGACTGTGAGAGACGTATACATTTTCTAATGAACTTTTATGCACAAAGAAATTTTCATTTTATGCTATGAATTATTTGGTAGATATTTTTTACTGTTTTGATACTCAA